GGGGGGGGGGGGAGGAGGGGGGGAGGAGGAGGACTGGATTGAACCCTGTTTGTTTTTCATCTCTACTAAGAGACCTTTCATAGGGAGCCAGGTCCGTGTGTGACCCGCTCTGCATACTTCTATCCAGCACTGTTTACAGTGTATAAGAAAGTCACCTCGTATGTGACTGCGCTCACCACACCAACACAAGATTGGATTCCCTACAATCCATTATAATCCTTTCTACAAATAAACTGTAATCAGCACAGGGAAGAATCTGATCCCATTGTGCTACCATTGTTTACCCGTGTTCATTCTACGCACAACACATGTGGCCACTTAACATGGAGCACAAAATCTAAATGAAAAAGAATCATTCTTCTTTATACAGCGGAGAGATGTCACTGGTCTCTAGTGATTGGATAGGCTGGGTTCTCATGAATATGAAGGGTCTCGGTGATGTCACTGGTCTCTAGGGATGGGATAGGCTGCGTTCTCATGAATATGAAGGGTCTCGGTGATGTCACTGGTCTCTAGGGATGGGATAGGCTGCGTTCTCATGAATATGAAGGGTCTCGGTGATGCCACTGGTCTCCAGTGATTGGATAGGCTGCGTTCTCATGAATATGAAGGGTCTCGGTGATGTCACTGGTCTCTAGTGATTGGATAGGTTGCGTTCTCATGAATATGAAGGGTCTCGGTGATGTCACTGGTCTCTAGTGATGGGATAGGCTGCGTTCTCATGAATATGAAGGTTCTCGGTGATGTCACTGGTCTCTAGTGATGGGATAGGCTGCGTTCTCATGAATATGAAGGGTCTCGGTGATGTCACTGGTCTCTAGTGATGGGATAGGCTGCGTTCTCATGAATATGAAGGGTCTCGGTGATGTCACTGGTCTCTAGTGATGGGATAGGCTGCGTTCTCATGAATATGAAGGGTCTCGGTGATGTCACTGGTCTCTAGTGATGGGATAGGCTGCGTTCTCATGAATATGAAGGTTCTCGGTGATGTCACTGGTCTGTACCGTAAACCAATGTTAATCTTGTACATTACAGTGAATATTCCCGATTTCCCTGCCCAAGCACACGGGGCCTGTCAGTCGCACTCACCACCCCCCGGCAGTATGTCAGGTGTGCCGCACATTGCAGACGGAGACAAATTGGTGATCACAGTCTGTATGTGTCAGTAATTTTTGCTGGCGTTAAACTCGCACGATCCCTATAGTTCATTACCTCGCAGTCATTACCAGTGAGGTGGGGATGGGGGAGATGAAGGCTTTCAACAAAAACATTAAATCATTAATCGCGGCCCCAGGCGGAGATTCTCGGCTTTATTAATATGATAATACATTCCTGTGTTTAACCGTTTCACTATCGCAGAGCCAAAGAGCTCTTAAGAGGCATGAACAACCCTCGCTAGCGAAATACAGGTCCTGCACCTGCCTCCATGCGGAGATACAGATGTGGTCTGGGATATGAATTGTCCTCAGCCGGGCTCTGCTTATGTCCCCTGAAACATAAGGAGAGAGCCTGAGGCAGCGAGGGTACCTTTAATGTAACACCTGCTCTGCCTGTACACTCAGATCATTCCTCTACAGAGAAGTCTGACACGTATGTACACGGAGCACATCGACCTCGCTGCATGGTGGGCACAGCACGCTCGGGAATGATATGAACACAACCCCACATTCGATCAGTGAACATCCGACCACCCAAAGCGGCAACTGAACCCCCGGAGTGCTGCTTACATGCCACTGATCTCTAATCCAGCAGGTATCACCAGCGATGAACATTCTGCGATATCCAGAGATTGGCTTTGTATTATATCCGAGTATTAGAGTCTTATTCCCAGGCAACTGAAATGTCTCTGCCCAGATTTGTGCAGCACAGAATGCCGATACTGAAACTTAGTACATCAGATTTCGGGATATGTACAACCCTTATACTGGAAACACCTTCATGCCGACCTCTTTCTGCCACTGCCCCAGAACTGTCAGAATGCCATGTATGCTCCTTCAGTCCTCTGACCAACAACCTACAGGAGTGCACGTGGCAGTCTGACAATGCGAGGCGTTGGCTTATCATTGGCCACCCGCAACAGGAAGAGCTGTTACTGGCAGGATTTGCTTACCCCACACAGTGAGAAACGATGCCAGGCACACTAAAACACATGTTTTGGGTTTACTTTTACACTTTAAAGGCCGGTTCACACCACAAAGTCTGTGTTCCAGAGCGTTCGTCTTCTGGAACGCAAGCTAGCCGGCTCCGTGTGTTCAGGGGCCAGGGAGGTGCATGGCAGTGCATTGAAGTCAATGGCACCGCAGCTAGGGCCACTGTGCGATCGCCTGCACCCGGAACGTAGGCACATTAGCGCCTGCATTCTGGTCCAGTGCGATCTGCAAAAATACTGCAAGCACTATGTTTACAGACCGAACTGGAGCAGAATGCAAGCGCTAATGTGCCTCAGTTCCGGGAGTGGGCGATCACACTGCGGAGGGGGCGTGGCCGTGTATTAAAGTCATTGGCACCGCAGCCACAGCCTTCCGGGCCCTGAACGGAGACTTTGTGGTGTGAATCAGCCCTTAAGAACCAGTTATTCCTTATCCACCGCTACGATCTGTAATGTGCAAAGAAATGAATATGTATATTTATGATTGGCACCTCTGCTTCATGTCACATTGACGTTACATATGTTTCTAAGGTCAATTCAATAAAAACGACCGCGGCAATCCTAAATCTGAATTTACAGGTCTCACTTCCATCACAGATCCAAAAAACAAGTAGTTCATTCCTAATTATAGGATAGTGGGCGGAGCCATGCAAATAATTTCTTTATGCCCCATTGTGGCCAACTGCACATCCAGATTATAATACAGATAGAGCTGAATATCACGGAGCCATTTATTCCAGACTTCATACACACAGCACAGTCCTCCTTTAGATTGTAAGCTCTCATGGGCAGGACCCTCTCGTCTCGTAACTGCACCGTCTCTCTTATTTTTTAAGACGTTGGGCAAACTGTCGGCGCTTTATAAATCCCGTATAATATAAAAATAAACAAAAGAGTAATTATGGCTTTACAGATCTGCGTACATGTTCCAAGTCAGCGCCTGAAAATATAGAAGCCGGACGGTCAGCACAGCAGTCCAGGAAAGGGGCGGGGCCCTCCTTACCATCGTGTCTTGTATTGTGAGTGTAATGTCTTCCTTAGATTGTAAAGCGCTGCGCAAACTGTTGGCGCTATATAAATCCTGTATAATAATAATGAGCATTTTCAGAGAATGAAGCGGTGACAGACTCCGATTTTCTCTTATGATGATTTATCTTAAACACAAGTTGCAGCAAGAAACATTTCTGAGAAGATGTATTGGCTTCCATACAGGAACTTCCGTATCTGGACCCAATCTACCTCTCCCACACCAGGTGATCGTCTCGTCTCTACTATTACCAGAGGAAAGTTTTATATCTTCTCCCATCACAACCAGCCGCTGAATCCCCGACACATATCTGTGCACATTTTAGGACACACAGTGTTCCCTTCACCCGACATATGTATGGGCACGGCGCCTATAGCCAGCGGAATCCGCACTCGATAACACCCCCCCGTGCCCACACGGTGACTACACACAGGGCTGGCATGCAGATAATAATGATATACATCATTAATAAATACATTAAGATGTTGATAAACATTGGCAGCGCGCTCTGGCAGGATATCAGCTATGCGTCTTGCCAAGAACATTTCTGGAACGCACGGCGGGGGGCGGCCCGAGGGTTCCGTCGTATTCGGCTACATTTACCCACAACGCTTTATATGCTGAACTGGAAGGTGACCAATAAACTCCTATAGAATCATCACTACATTCAGAGCCACAACGAGCACGCCGAACAGCTGCCGGGAAAAGCCCAGTTCAGTCCTCTAAGTGAAGGAATGACGAGGAGGAGACCCCAATTATCAGATAGAGGGAGACCAAAGGAGCGAAACATGTAAATGAATATTGAATCCAGACATTGCGATGTGTGCGGATAATACACAGCACAGGACGAGGAGCCTGGACAGTATATATCTCATCACACACAACGTGAATGGGGCCAAAATACCCCTCAGCTCCGACCTTCCAGATTATACATTGTACAGATTAAGAACAGATACTGAGAATGACACCCAGGCATACAGGACACGAGAAGTGGTACTGTGCAGAGTCCATACATATAGAATAAGAACAGATACTGAGAATGACACCCAGGCATACAGGACACGAGAAGTGGTACTGTGCAGAGTCCATACATATAGAATAAGAACAGATACTGAGAATGACACCCAGGCATACAGGACACGAGAAGTGGTACTGTGCAGAGTCCATACATATAGAATAAGAACAGATACTGAGAATGACACCCAGGCATACAGGACACGAGAAGTGGTACTGTGCAGAGTCCATACATATAGAATAAGAACAGATACTGAGAATGACACCCAGGCATACAGGACACGAGAAGTGGTACTGTGCAGAGTCCATACATATAGAATAAGAACAGATACTGAGAATGACACCCAGGCATACAGGACACGAGAAGTGGTACTGTGCAGAGTCCATACATATAGAATAAGAACAG